CCCCGGCGGCTAACACGGTATAGAAATTCTTCTTAAGATTTTATATCGAGGTCGGAGTCGGTACATTTTTACCGACTCCACAGCCCTGGTTGAAACGTCCGCCATGTTGTTGTTATCGATTATAGAAAATTACAAATCAAAATTTTAGGATGACCTCCAACGACATATTATTCATACCAGCGTGTATGAAAATCGATTGATCATTTCAAAATTTAAAAGCTCCCCCTCCACACACACAAACACACAGAGCTTACTTTTTTATTGAGAAGGAAATTTGGGAAATCTAGCTTACCTACAGATTCCATATAACATATTTCATACTTAAAGATTACTAATACGGCGACCATGCAAAACTCCGAGGCTAAATATGACAAAAGCAACGTAGTAGTAGAATTTATAGTCAGAAATGGATCACTAAATTAAGAGTCGTAAGAACGAAACATCTTAAGTAAAGTTGGCGTCACAATATATTCCGAGAATTAAGCAAACATTAATTGGCCTAGCAATCGTACCAACCTAATATTTAGTTTACTTGCTGTTTGTTGCAGAATTTGCCCCTCGTTGGGCAAAATGCCGGACACATGCGGCCTGGGTCCCTGCTTCCGACCGACATGGCTGCGAAAGTACGCAACGCCCCGCGCCTTCCTAGTTGTGTATGGTCTACTAGGCACTATACAGGCGATGGCGTACATTTACTTCGTGGCCACGCTTACCACCCTGGAGAAGAGGTTCAAAATTCCCAGTAAGACGACAGGTAGGTCTATACACTAAAGTGACTAATGTCAGAGGCGAGAAAATTTGACCTAATGCAGGTGATGATGTTCAGATATAAATAAGCGACACTTCATAGGTATTTCAGTGCATTTATTAGAACCTGATTAGAAGGGAACACATTTCTGAGGCCTTAGAACACGTAACTGAATTTCATATCCAGTTCCAAAAACTGCGTGTGAGTTGTCACCTTTAGAACCCCGATCAGAATGTAGAACATAATTTAAAAATTAATTCTTAGACTAATAAATTTTCATTGTTATGCCTTTTGTTAAATCTCTTAAGTATGTTCAGTCGATGCAAATAAATGATAAGATGTAAGATTTTTGGTTTTCACAGCGGTGAGTATGAAGATTTCTGTCTTCTGGGTTGTTGCGCTGTGTAGTCTGGTCGATGGTTACCAACGTTTCAGAGGTCATAATGCCTCTGTCATCAGGGCGATGAATCGACCAGACTACACAGCGTAACAACCCAGAAGACAGAAATCTTCAAATGATAAGATATTTAACAATTTTGAAGTGAATAATTTGCATACCGAGGTTCTCCACCTCACTACCAGTTTAAAATCTCACCGTCCAACCCCCATTCGGACATAATAATGGCCTGTCTTTCCACAGAAGATAGGAAAATATCGTATGGTAATCTCAGGAAATTAAATACCTAGGATAGATTCTGAATTGTATGTGTTGCAGGCATTGTAATGAGTGGCAATGAGATCAGCCAGATCTTATTATCACTGACGCTGTCATACTACGGAGGGCGAGGGAACAGGCCAGTGTGGATCGCTTGGGGCGTCGCTGTGTCTGGATTATCTTGTTACATCCTGGTTCTGCCTCATTTGGTACACGGGCCAGGAAGGGATGCACTAGCTCTCACCGAAGAGTACCTGGACACGCACTTTTACAACATGACGCCCGAGAATCGAGGTCGGTACTGCACTAAGTAATAATAAAAGATCTTGCTGTATGTATACAGTATCGATATTTTGTTCACTGATTCTCGCGTTGTACCACACTTTTAACGTGAAATCTGAGAGTCGAAGGCGATATAACATATAATAAGAACAGAAACATCGTTCAATTCTAAAGGGTTTTGACGACGGTAGTTTACACTTAAAATTATTCATTGTCAGGACTTCGTCTGTTCTTTAAAACCACGACGTTTCGGAGGCTGGTTCTGTCTCCATCTTCAGGTGAGAGGTACCTACTCTGTTGGGTCCCTTAGATAGAGCTAGTCTCTGTCCAGACGATGAAAAAAGTCCTGACAATGAATAATTTTAAGAGTACAATCGTTGTGTTTCTACAGTGGGTTTTGCCGTGTACAAATGATGCTTGAGTGACCCATTATTTAGGGAAATTGCGTTACTCTATTTCAGACGACTCGCTGGCTGTGTGTTCCGCTGATAGCTACGACAAAATATGTGGAGACATGGCATCTATGATGCCCCTCGTCCTCACCTTCTTGTCTCAGTTCGTGTTAGGGATAGGATCAACACTGTACTACGCCCTGGGACAGCCCTACCTCGATGACAACGTCAAGAAGACGGAAACACCAATGTTACTAGGTACATATTACCTAATTTCATGCAGGATCTGACTTGGAAAGTTGAATGTTATTCAAGTTGCAAAGAAAGTCAATGGTTTTATAGAAACAGAATGGTCATTATCAGGTTCACAAACATCTGCCATTGGATATTATTCTGAGTCACATAAAACCAATGTGTACCTTCACATCCTACCGCATTCCTTCTTCGATTCTTTCTTTGTCTGTTTGTTTCTTCCTTCCCGATATTCTTCTTCAGCAAGTCATTAACGCACATTTTACGTAGACGTTCACACGAAATGCGTTCCCACTTGCGATACGAAAGTCCTATAATATTTCAGATAATACTATAAAGAACAACACGAATCAAAATTGTATGGACAGAGAATACTAAATATTTAAACATATCACTTTCTGTTAAACTATTGTTCCTTTTTTTCGTTTACACATTACATTTTCCGTCTACGTCTATTATAGATAATTATACACTTGTCTTCGGTGTATATTTATGATAAAAATGTTTCGATAAAAACAATTTTCTTGCAGTAAAAGTTAGTTACAGATTTTATTCTATATGTACAGTTAATTTTGGCCTACTTCAAACTATATACGCCAAGGACTCTCAACAAGTGGCCCATCCATGCTCTGTGAGGTCCGCGTATATTTTTATAATATTATGTATGAATAAAAATATTAGCCTTATATCAGAAAGATTAATCAAGCAAAAGTATTATAAAATCTCTCTCACTAGTGACGACTGATATTCTTAAAAGAAATAATGAGTAGCGTGTGATCTTGTTTGCGATAATAGATGTGATTTAATATCATTTGTAATGAACATTGATCGCGTTTCAATCAATTTTCCTCATTTACAACGCTGAGGCCCGCAAGTCAGTAAGAAAGGGTTAATATGGCCCCTGATCTTTAAAGTGTTGAGAACCTCTGACATAAGCTGTATCTCCCATTACGAGCACCTTCTTTAGAACATATCCGTAAACAAAAAACGCCGAATCGATATCTTATCATGTCACTAAGAAATTAAGGTCATGCTACGATTAATCAGCTACTTAACTGAGAGTTTTGGTCAGCTTACCTCGATATTTCCAAGCAAAAAGGGAAAATGCCTTATAATAGGCCACATACGAAAATTAACTGAACAGAACAAATGATGAAACACCAGTTACCTTGGATTGTAACGTCGCTTTATGCGCAGAATTTCAAACGCCGTTAATTTAGAAAACTGTTCTTGGAATGGACACGGACAATAGACAGTGATTTGATCTCTACAAGACGTTGACCTACGTACAGTGATAAATTCTTGCACGTAAAGATAAATTCCAATTGGAAGTTACGTCTGAGAGGAGACCTGACCTCGACCTTCAAACACAAGTGCCGATCTGCGCAGGCGCACTGACGTTCTAAAACGCAGTATAGAAAGACCGGCTGCATCTCAGATCGCCATTGCTTTTCTAGCTTTTTAGTGTTTCGTGTCATTCTTCTATTTTAAGGATTTCATACTTTTTACATAATTTAATACCGGCAAATACCAGATTGATCCAACAGTAAGAAGCAATGTTTTATGAAAGTATTCAGCATACAAGATGGCTTCAAGGTCGAGTCAATTCTCAGCTTAGACAGACAGTGCTACCAAACATTGCAGGTCTCCTTGACCTTTAATGAATTTAAACTACTGGTTGTTAAACGTTCTCACCTTGCTCCACCTTATATTTTACCTCTCCACAGCCTCCTTTTCAAAGAACACGTTTCTTTTGTGGTTTTAAGTATTTTATTAAAGACATCTTGGTAGGTGAGAAGCTTACCTCACTTTGTGCTGTCAGATTTTAGTTTCAATTGCTTAAAACCCTGTGTGGTTTTTGAGACGAAACTGGTGTTCGTACAAAACACTTGGACCCTTCGAGAATCCATACAACTATTTAACTAAGTGGTACATTCAAGAATCATGAATCTGGACTGCCCAAGTGCAGTCTTCATTGACCTGATGACAGGTGATCAAATAATTTCCAAAATTTCTCAAAAACATAGGCCGGCTGTTTATCACAAAACCCTCAAATCCACGTCATATCATTTCCATATTCGCGCTGTGTTTCTCTACGAACAGTTTATGTTTTATTCTCCCTTATGACCTGATGACAGGTGATCAAATAATTCCCAAAATTTCTCAAAAACATAGGCCTGCTGTTTATCACCGTATTCACAAAACCCTCAAATCCATGTTATATCATTTCCATATTCACGCTATTTATGTTTTATTCTCCCTTGTATTATTATACCTAGATCTCTTTGGTTGAAGCGTTCTAACCCCAAATCTGTTATGCACTTAATATTCCTTAACGTGCATGCTACATATCTCACACATCTCAACTTCTGTTTATCCTAATAAGCTTTGAAACGATTTGTTATGTAATTTGTGTCCTTTGTCCTGTTACACCTTTTAAAGCATATACATGGTAAATGGTAGAAACCAGGCATCAAATGTAATAAATTTATGTCACAAAGAAGAAAAAATTTAAACAGAGAAACCGAAAGAAAACAAAAAAAAGCAAATATGTGATAAGTGATAATATTATGATAAAGAACAATTAGCTGATATATTAGAAATACATAACCACAGAGATAAGCCTTCCAAGTTTCTTACTCTGAACAGTAATCAGCAGTTCGGATGCCTTACTTTATCACGACAGTGAAAATACTTTTCTTAACTCATTAGCCACAATCTTAATTAATTTCACATAGAAATACATCATTAAAAGCTAAAACGAGTGCATATATCAAACTTCATCTTATATATAAAATTACGTACATATGTGTGTATAATTGTAACTCGAAAACAGATAACCAATTTTCATCAATCTTGGCATAAAACCAAAAACTCCGAAAGTGTCCTGAGTTCTAGTACCAGTAAGGATGGTTAAGACCAAAGTTGTTTTGGCTACATTACTGGAAAAGAAATTCCAAGACAGCTGAAAAGCTGTCATGGGTTCGACTTCTGGTGAAGATGGTTTCTCTGTACATAGAAAACTAATTGTGGCAGAGAATTGTTAAAGACAAATAAACGAGATTATAAAACAACAGCTGTAATAGCATCATTGTTCTTTCGGGGAGAATATTATCCCCCGAAATGATGGGACATGACCTCAGGTTAAGTAATTAATAAAGGACATATGCTAATAACAGTCACAATTTTAACAGAATTTGCAAAATGCAAAAGGGAAACTGTATTTATAAAAAAAGTCTGATATTCCGCCTAACGATCAATTTGTTTAAACGTTTTCAGTTTTCATTGGTAAAACTCAAGGTCATTTAAAAGAATTGGGCACTGATTTAAGAGACGAATTTTTCTTCACATATGTGGCTTCCTCAAAAGTTGGTTCTGAAAAATTCCAACAGAGTTGTTGCTTATAAATAAATTCTGTGTTGGATTTTCATCATAAAGTATAACACTCGCATTCTCAAGAAATATTAAAGTTAATATTTTAGGTCGAACATCATCATTAAGTATTGTAAACAGGCCTATATATAAATTATTATTCAAAATAATTAATTTCACAAATAAAATCTGAATGAATATTTAATTAATTTCTCTTCTCAGTTTTCTGCTTTTTCATAGATTTCAGAAATAACAAATTTATAGTGCAAATAACCCAAGGAAGAAAAAGGGGCCCAACTGCTATTTACATTTATACAGAAGGAATGAGTAAAATCCTGATAATTATCTTTGAAACTAATTAATGTAGACGACACTGTAAAGATAAATGTTCTTGGATTTAGAGAAACCCGCGTCGTTGATGAGGGATTATTAAAATGGCCGATGCAAACCGAAATAAAATTGGAAGATGGCTGTCTTCTGGGTTGTTGCGCCGTGTAGTCTGACTGAAGTTTACCGACGATTTAGAGGTCATACTGCCTCCGTCATAAGGGCAATCACCCTGATTATGGAGGCTGTAAAGATGTAAAATGGAATAAGTTGGCTAGGGTCCAATGGCATATATCTGTGAATTCAGATTGTGTACAATCAAGGAATTTATTAACTAGTTGATTAAATGTCAACTATAGCTGGTCCATCTATATATAAAACCGTTCCTAATAATATTGCATTGGACGAAGAAAGACAATTTCAGTATCTGAACGTACCTTTGTACAAATTACTTTGTTCCAGGCTGTATTCTTGCTTTCCGGGCACTAGGTCCAGCGTTGGGCTTTGCGCTTGGTTCTGGGTGCCTCAGCGTGTACATTGACCCAAGTGTCACACCGGTTATTACGAAGAAGGACCCGCGATGGCTGGGAGCCTGGTGGCTGGGTGAGAGCTGTTGACACAATTACAATATTATCACAAATATTAAACATTTTGCACGTCTGACTGTAGTCACGTTACTGGAAGCCGAGGGAGAAGGTGGGGCCAAAAACAGGTCTGGTTGTGTGTCCTGCCGAGTCGACATTTCTTTGTGGTGGCTTTGCATATTTGATCTTCTTTATGACACTACTACAATGCTACAAAAAGTTGTTCATATATTCTCACAGATGCTTTTAACGACACGAATACCATTCTACCCGTCATACAGTCCCAAATTGAAAGGATTATGAGGAGGTTTAAAAATCAGTGAATAATAAAAGGAAAATACGTACTCCAGTGTAATTAACACATTCTATAAATGTATTCTTATCCATTTTCAATGCTCATTTACAACGTAAAATTACTACTAGTCACTGTACACAATCAGAACTGATTTTCCCTATTTTATTAAATTTGCATTATATAGAAAAACGTTCAAATAAAAGTTACAGACCTTAACAAGATGTATATTTCCAGCCACGTAATGACAACTTCTGAGAGAACTGATAAATTCAATGAACCTGATGAAACGCTTGTATTATATAATTCGCTGATATGAAACAAATTACGCTATAGTTTTTGTATAAATTTTTTCCCCCCCCCCCCACTAAAATAAAAAGAATATCAAAATCTATCAAGTAATTTCAGATATAAATCATTTGTATTAATATTAAACTTATCTCTAATACACGGAAACTGTTTTAAATTGAAACAAAAATATTTGTTTTTCTGTTTTTTACTGTGTGTCTTGGTATCCATGTGGGAAGAAACGCCTCCGTCATAAACAGGAGGCAATTAAGTGTATCCGTCACAGATATATAAAAATACTTTAATGGGCCATTAGATGTTAAAAATGGAAAGTGACTAATATAATTAAAAATCTGTACCACTCAGTAACAGTGCACTGAGCAATATTTTTGTTCAGAAGTACATGTGTTAAGTGGAAATCTGTCTGAATCAGTCCCTTTGAGACTCCAGTATACGAGTAAGCAGTATTATCTGTACATTGTGTATATCTGGTTCTGCCACAGGCTGGATTATCCTTGGCACTACCATGCTGATGTTTTCGTTTATTATCGCGCTCTTCCCGAGGCACCTGCAACAGACAAATCCTAGAAAGGATCTGTCCATCACTGAGAACCCTAAGAACACGACAGAACTGCTGCATGAGGAACAACCACTGACCAAGGCTATGCTCACCGACTTCATGCCAAATGACCCAGTTTCAATAAAAAAGAAGGAAATTTTACATATACAAGACGCTACTGCCACAAAGGGGGAAGGTACAGTCTACTTGTAAGATTTGAGGTTTTCACAGCGGTGAGTATGAAGCTTTCTGTCTTCTGGGTTGTTGCACTGTGCAGTATGGTCGATATTTACCAACATTTCAAGGGTCATACTGCCTCCGTCATCAGGGCAACAACCCAGAAGACAGAAATCTTCATACAGTCTACTTCTTTCTTTGGTTATTCAATAACTCTGTTTCCGCTGCAGAGATTATACAGTATCAAATCAGATGGGAATGTGTTCATGAATGGTAACTAGGCAAGCACATGAAAGGTAGTGGTCGTGACATTTTTCAGGGTAATGTCTTGGGTTCTGCCTAGAGAAACTGAGGAAAATCAGGAAAAGTTCAAACACAACTTGCACCACGAAATTCCAGTACAGGTACTCGTAGTTAGATGATTGTTTGAAAAGTGTTATTTCATTTTAATACTTGCAGCTAATCCAATAATTTTCAGTTAATATAACTCGCTTTAATGTCAATTACTTGCTGGCTGATCGAGATATCTGAGGAGGAAGTTAAGAGTATTGTATGGGTTGAAAGAGCACGAATGCAAAGTGAGAAAGGAACATTTTGCTTGATTCATGTGATTTCAACAAAGCACAACCAATAAAATTTAACTGTTGTGGCAGACCTTCACGTTCTATGAATCTGTGGACTTAGTGATTCAGATGTTATACAAAAGTAGAATATTTAAGTCATGGATTGAAACAGGTTTCAAGATTGCCTTGAAGAGACTTCTGAAGAACCAACTGTTGATGGCTAACATCATGGCAGGAGTGTTTTATATTCTGGGGGCATCAGGCTACATGACCTACACGATCAAGTACCTGGAGACGCAGTTCCAGAAATCAGCTGCAGGGGCAAATATCATAGCAGGTATTGTGATGCTACTTACAACTTTCAGGTTATTTGTGGAAGTTTGTCAGGCGAAGATAAAACTTTAAAAATTCAAATAAATAAATTGGATTCGATGGATTTTAAAAAAATAATAATTAATAATAGAGATGGATCACATGTTTGTTCTACATAAATATATTTTGCAACTTCTATGACTTTGAATAAGTGACACCAAAAGTGGGCAAAATACATTCAGAAGCCTGGAATGTCAAACAAAGAAATTTGATGTTCTATGGCAATGTTCAAATATCAGAATAATAATATGGTCCTTTATCAGGCTTAGAGAGGTACAAAATCATTGCACTATTAGTAATCAAGATTGACAAAAATGCAATTTCTGGAGTACCTAGCACAAACATTTGCTCTTGCAACTAATAATAAAGATCCGTGGGGACCATTTCATTTACACTTTAATTTTTGTCTTTAAAATGTTTAGAACAGTGGTCCCCAACGCAGTGCCCGCGGGCTCCATGGATTTTTTTGGGTGCCCGCGTTGTTATGGAAAGAGGTTATACTGAATAATGAAGGCCGTTCAACCACGAACATTATAAGATCAAAGCACAGATCTCGACTTACTGACGTCCATCTTGACGATTGTTTGCGAGCAGCAGCGTCATCCTACACTCCCAAATTTGAAAAACTGGCCGATGAAATGCAGTGCCAAACATCACACTAACTTCCCACTTGAATAATAATAATTGTACTTATAAAAGTACATATTTTTGATTGCGTGGTTTCTCGTATCATTAAACGTCGTGTTGTTTTGTGTATTATTTGGTGTCCATATCTTATTTGTCCAGAGAAAAGAAAATTTGGCTTTGTTAATTGGTTGGTGCCCGCCACGATCTCATAAACTCTCAAATGTGCCCGTAGGCACAAAAAAGTTGGGGACCACTGATTTACAACAACAATCAGGGTTAGCACACTGTATTGACATTAGTTATTAATATTGTTGTTTTTATATTTTCTGGTGTAGCTGTTTATAAACCAGTTCAGTGCATACAAATAATTATTTACAATTTTTCTTGCAAGGTTCTTTAGCTTCTTATCACTTGGAAGTAATTATCCATCCATGCTGTGATGGCTGCAGATTACAAAAGGAAAGATCAAACATTTATTTTCAATGGCTCAATTATAGGTGTACCTGCCATCTGTGAATCTATGTATTTATTTACATTTATGTAATATTTTATGATGTTAGAAACTAATCATAAATACTATTAAATTATTTAGGATAAACAACAAAAATAGTAATTTAAATTATAAAATCGGTCATTTCTAGTGTGATTAGCTTTGAAACAACAGTTATATGAGCTACAAAACAAAGGTAATGAGGTTATAAATAAAACAATACATTTGGAAGAAAGGTATATTCAATTTTATTCAGTCACAGTAAGGCCTCTACCATTTCAGCTCTTACTGAATAGACAGGTACTTAGACATGTCTTTATACATTTAAAACACCCTATACATACCTTAGTACATTGATAGTTGGTCATTTAACAATGTTATATCAACTTCAGCAATATTTAGTGCTGGTTAATGCCATAGGATGAACACATTCGAGGAACTTGGATGGATTGGGAATGAAGTGGTTGTGGCCTATTTCAGGGTACCATCATGGCATTCACCTAAAGGAACAGAGGAAAACAATCAAGAATGTATCCCAACTAAAATTTATACTTAGCACCTCCAAGTAAAAAGTCACTTGAATCATGTCTCAATAATATAATGAAAATGCATTCAATCAGATGAAGGGTTCTCAACGCACGGCACACCAATATCTTTTGTGCAATGTGCATATATTTTTGTAATTCTGTATCACTCTGCATAACGATAAAGTTACTGTCTAAAATATATATTAATTCCAAATGAATTAAAAAATTAAATCCGTGGCGTAACAGCTCCAGAGAGCCAAAGCCGACTAGCTTGACTGCTAAGTAGAGGTGAACGATCATCCAACCAGATATAGGGTGACGTGTGGAATTCCAAATGAATACTTAATACAAATAATAAACCAACAAATTTCTTAAGAAAATTCTCGATTAATACAGATTAATATAATAATATGATTGTAATAGTAAGTTAATAACATTTTTAATAAACTACCATACATTTCCATATGCTGACCTTGCTTAAAATCCATTGGCCCACTAGCTGATAAATGACGAATGTGACCCTGGTTTTAAAGGTTAAGAGCCACTGTGTTAGAGTAATGAAAAACAACTGTCTAACTCTGTTTTAACTTTCAGCCTCCAAATCATAAATGAGTGCAATGAGAACTGCCATTGCAATAATCTAAAGTACACTCCAGTCTGTTCTGAGACGAATGGTGTAACATTCTACTCTGCATGTCACGCAGGCTGCGGCTACGTGTTCAATAGTTCTAAGGTGAGAGCAAACATAATTCTGCGTAGTTTTACAAATATAAGAACTAAATTACGGTGCTTGACAAAAAAGAAAAAAAAAGTACTTATTATTATTACCACAGCTGTTCTGAATGCCATATTTCTTCACAAACTTGACAATTATGGAATATTTGAAACAGCAACTTTTTGAGCTCCTGACACTGAATGCAAGATTTCTTCTTAGAATCACTAAGCTGAGGGCAACCAAGATATGAATATAATTATGATCTCAATACCTCAAAGAAATATTTGACTCAACAGACATAAGTGTAGACTAATGGGTAATATTAAAATAGATATTAAGATAAATAGGATGTAAGATATGAACTGAAATGGAACAAAATCCCATGGTGAGATCTTGTCAACATGGAGGTAGATAGGTTACATACAAGTGGAGAATGTGTTGGCTGTATAATTAACTATGAGTTACTTACAGATGACCTAGTGGCAATGAATTAAATGTTGCTTAAAAATCAAAATCAAAAGTTAACCAAATACCAACACATGTGATATGTTTTAAGCCTACAGGACAGAGAATTGTGTTGCTGAGTACGTGGGTTCTTGCTTGGTTCCTCCAGAAGACAGAACAGATAGGTCTACACCTTTACAGCTGAAGAGGAAGTGAGGTTAAGTTTCTTAAATTACTTTTCTGTTGTGGTAGGGTTTTGGAAACTGCACCTGTTTGTCAGATGGTGGATTCAGTAATACAAGCAGCACCACAAGTACAAACACAGTGATTGCTGGACCCTGTCCAGTCAACTGTGGCTACAACTTTATCATCTTCCTGATTGCTACATGTATCATGCATAGCCTTGGCAGTTCTGGCAAGATTGGCAACATCTTAGTGAATTACAGGTGACAGTTTAGAATCTTTGTATGGCAGCGCTAAGTATTCAAATGTGTTTATGTTCAATAGCTAATAAATCTTTTGAAAATGTGGCCCAAGTTAAAATATTTGGGAATAAAGCAGTAAATCAAAATTAAATTCATTAAGAAATAAAGAGCTGATTTGGTATCATTTAGTTCAGTGTATTTTGTGCACTCATCCCTTACATAAAAACCTACAAATAAACAAAACTACAATTTTACTTGTTCCTTTGGGGCATTCAGCCACCTGATGAGGCTTGTTGCCCGAGAGTCTTTCGACAACTTCGGTCGCCACGAAAGCTTCACTTTAAATATCTACTTAAATAACTTTACTTCATACTGTGACTTTATTTCAGGTGTGTGGTGCCAAAAGATAAGTCATTTGCTCAGGGATTAGTTCTAGTACTTGTGAGTCTTCTTGCCTTCATTCCAGGACCAATCATATTTGGAGCTATTATTGGTAACTATGATTTCCCTATGTATCACATCTAGGGCATTACGCATAATTCAAAGATAGAAACACAACACAAAACAATGATGAAATCAATAACAGAATGAAGATAAAGGCAGCATGTTCCTTCAAAATGCCAGTAGGTATGTACAAGTCCACGCAATGTTAGAACCCACAAGACGAACACTAACAAGAATGGAGAACATTTTGTCACAGGACAACCTACACCAACAGAAATTAGAAATTTGGTGGAAATAATGATGTTGATGAGAATAGCTAATATTGATTTTTCTCTCAAATTAAGATTAGACTCGTTTTCATTTTCGCTTGATATTTGAAGTCGCAGCATTTTGGCATGCTAATATTTCACAGAAATGAACACTCTACACCAGTGGTATTCAGCCTGGGGTACGCGAAGACATCTTAGGGGGTACGTGAAATTTAAAAAAAAATATATATATTATTTTATGATAAACACTGAATAATCAGTAATGTAATTTATTTAACTTATTTTAGATGTAGATTATATACTATGTACAACTTGAAATATACACCAACAACTTTGGGGGTACAAAGTTGAAGAGAAATTATATCTGGGGGTACGCGAACAAAAAAGGTTGAATACCATTGCTCTAAACCATCAATGATCAACATTTGTTATTTCAGAACTGTGTAAACAAACTTGCCTGTGATGTTTCAGATTCTGCATGCTTAGTGTGGGATGAAACATGTGGAGAGAGGGGAAACTGTTGGCTGTATCATAAGGACAACTTCAGGTTATACCTGAACCTTACTGCTGCAGGTATGTCAGACAGGGAACCCAAATGCCATGATTCCTAAATCCGTAAATTCAAAAAATACCAACATGGATTTTGATTTACAGATTTATCAATCTTAGCACCATTAATAATAAAAATTAAAGTTTGGGAAAGTGAAGAATATTAGGATCAGAGCCCACATTAAACTGAAGATTTCTTTGAAGATGGCTGTCTTCTGGGTTGTAGTGCCATGTAGTCTTGTAGAAGTTTCTGACATTTCATAGGTCCTTGCTACCTTGTCCTGATAATGGAAGCAGTAAGGACCTTGGAAACACCAGTAAACTTCTACCAGAGTACACGACACTACAACCCAGAAGACAGCCATTTCGTACCCAATGCTGTGAAAACCTCAAATCCTACTGAAGATAGCCTCTGCCAAATATCATATTGCCTAGGGTCAGCAGAGAACAGGAAAGGCCACCACAAATCATCCCTAAGGATATGAGAAACCAACAAAAGGAAGAATTCTAAGAAAGATCACTTTAAATTGCAATCTCGGTTTGTGTTTGTCACTCTGTAGTTCAAACCATAAAGAGATGCTTTTATAAGTGCATATTATAGTCTCAAATGAGCCGGGATAGCTCAGTCAGTATAGTGACTAGCTACGGGCTGGACAACCGGGGTTTGATCCCCGATGGGGCAGAGGATTTTTCCTCTAGCCTCTGCGTCCAGACCGGCTCTGAGGCCCAGCCAGCCTCCTAGACATTGGGTACCGGGGGCTTTTCCCGGGGGTAAAGCGCTGCCGGGGCGTGATGCTGACCACTCACCCCCATCTAAGGCCGAGGTCAAGAAATAGTAGGAGCTATACCTCCACTTCCCCCAATGCGCCTACATGGCGTGTAGTGGGACAGCTTACCTTACCTTAGAGTCTCAAAAATATGACACTAACATAACAATTATAACATAATGATCTTGTACTGTGGAATATACAAAACATAGCTTGACTCTTGATATCTTAACCTGGCAATAAATAAATAAACACAAGAGAAAGTAAGAAATAGCAGCACCTGAATCATAAAAATTCATGTTCCAGGTTTAACTACAGTAGGAATGCTGCTCGATGCAGTGGTGTGGTGGCTTGGAAGAAATCTGGAGTTATATGAGGAAACAGACACAAACAGAAAAAAAGAAAACAGCAAGAAGCACAGTTTCCAGCACCTGAAATGACAGCTTTTACTGTGATAATAAAACCATGTACATTTTCATACCAACAAATTGAAGTTAAAGATTAATCTGTTCTTATATTTCATAAACTGAAGGGAAAAAAGAGTTGTAACCAAAATAAAAATATCACATAAATCAGTAAACTACAATGCAAACTTTGTTACAGAAAATAATACTTTCAATATGAGTATACATAAAGAAAAATCTTGTAAAATGAGTAAAGCACATTGTACTGACATCGTGTCATTCAAATGCATCTAAGGTAGGTCATAACAAAGGTAAATTTTGATTTTGTTGTACTGTACATAAAACCTGCATGGTGTAGAAATACAAGGATTATTTTCTCCAAATTCAAAAAGGTACAAAGGTTCACAAATTCCAAACAGAAAGGTGATCTAAAATAAAAATTAATCATGAGGACTGGTCTGACAGATGCAGTACTACTATTGCAGATGCTGTAAGAAGAATAATTTTTTTTGAAGCCAACTACTTTTCTCAGTAAAACTATATTACAAGAAATTTGAAAAACATCAATATGACATTCCTGACTTGGTCTCTGAAAATGATCTTTATCAATGATGAAAAAGTTCACGCTATCTAGCATATTTTCAATCCATTGGCATACTGTGATGGCTGCAATACCATTGGTGCACTTGGGTGACATCAGGTACTTTTAAATGAGCAATAGCACAATCTACTCAGTGAGCAAGAGATGTAGAGGTCTTCTGCGACACGTCTGAGGTCTGCTGAAAATCTTTTAATTGCTTTCATGTATGCTTTTTAACTAAACACAATCAAATAGAATTCCTATGCCAAGTGGTCAATGAGGTTATCTTCTTATTGCACGATGGCTTAAGTTTCAGAACCTATCATCAACCAATCAACAATTATTGTCATATGTATTGAGTTACCTTCTACGTGGGCAGATGACAAGAGTCATAAGATGTTCATGAACAAATTATGACCACCTAGGGTCTATAATATTTAAGTTTGAAAATAAAAATAAGAATATTCACGTTTCTTTATATTTATTTCTCTTGTTTCAAGAAAACTGACAGTGGCAATATGCATACTTTTTAAAAGAACAAACAATCATCTTACTGTAAAGGAACACTTAAAATACATATTCAACATAACAGTCATTATGTCAAAGGCATAGTACTTCGGTCACTGGCCGAGATTCAAGCAATGTCATGTGCAGCAAATGAGTAATATTTTCCCAAACATTCTGTAAATTTCTCCACATGGAATCATGATATCTCTTTTGGATATTCTTATAGACAGACATCTGGCAGTGTGAGAAATACAGTTCCTCTGGAAAATCAGGCACCCTGCCTGATGCAGAAGGGCCAAGGCTTACTTTGGCTACATGGGTGTAACACCATATTACTTAAATCACCAAATCCTGAGGTACAAGGTTTCTGAGAAGAAATGTTACCAAATACCATCAAGAAAATATATGCAAATGGGTGTCTGACATCTGTTAGAGAGCTACATTCCCACCCCCAAAATAGACTCATATTTAAATGCCACCAAAATAGGACACCATATTGACACTTCTGCCGCGCTGGCATGATGCCAATTTCTGGTATGGTAATACTTTTGCCAATGTCTGTATCATACATTTTACTGATAGCTGCCTTCCAAACTCAGTGTTAGTGTTTATCAACCTACTTCAACATTTGGTCTTCCATGAGACATTTTAAACATAAATGTAAAAATCTGTCAACAATAAACACTTTCTCAAGCATATGTGTTGTAATTTATGGACAACTAACCAAGCAACAGACATCAACGAAGCAATAATTCAAACATGTATCAAAATACATGTCCTACAAATATGCATTCACATATACACTGTTATCTTGTAGTATGCACTGTAAAATGGAATGGATGATGCAAAAATATTTGAGAAGTAAGCATAACTGTAACATGTTCCAATGAAAATAAAATTTACACTAAAAACAGTAATACCATATTTAATTGACTATATATAAAATATGCTCCTTTTACTTTTACATTTATTAAGATTAAGAGAGTCATCTCATATTTTACATTTTCAAATTCAGAAAAAGAGCATAAAATATAAACATGATTCAGCAACCTAATGTTAATTTAAAATGGCTGTAAAACCTCGAAATCACCATACAATATTGTAACATGTGGCGTTACCTTGATGTACAGTAGGAATGGCAGACAATTATATAAACAGAGGCTAATCTAAAAGTCTACTGGCTCATACTACACACCTACCTAAACTAAACTAAATAAACTTAGCTTAAGCATTTACCTATACTGAATTAACATCCAGATGTATACAGAATTTAGGCATTCCATCAGCTCATTGTGGTAATCGCAGCTATTGATTTTAACCACACTATAATAAGTGACAAAATAAATACAACAGTTGTAACACCATTATGCTAGTACTTTTCAGTGATGGCACTGCTATTTTGCAATATAAAGTTTCCTAAACAAAAAAAGTAAACACCAAGACACAGCTTAGGCATGTAGTGATGTGACTGGCTGTGCAGTTTCCAGCATAAGGTGTGCCAGTGAAAGAACTATGACCTTCCAAACAAACACTGTTAATGAAAGGTTTGTAATCTAGAACACAGAAGATACCACATCACTGACTGCACACGAAGGACTAAATCAATAATTGCATATCCAGAAGAAACCTAATACACACTGTGGGCAATTCAATACTCCATTACTATTGTTGTAACAGTTGCTTTGTATCTTATTTACTCAGAGGAAGAAATCTCATAAAATCATAACTCCATATATTACAGATCAATGCAGTGTTAAATAATCAGTGTTATGAAATATAACAAGACATATATGGATAAACAAATGATACAATGAATTCATGGCCTCATAGTATTTGTACTAATAAATGAACTAAAAACACTTATGTAAACCAACACTCACTACATATGTACATTTACTTCCCTCTGCCACAAACCATTTATACACATCATGTCCTCAAGTCATCTATATTGGGCAAGTGCATTTTGATTATATCACTGGTTCGCAGAATAGCTTCAGGTAAAGTTCCTAGTGGAGTTTTCAGTTGCCTAACGTAGAAATGCATAACATCCACATCAGAACCTCGAAATTCGGCAGTCACATTTGTGTTGCCAAACATACGGAACTCGCAGCCTTTACCTGACATAAAAATCATAAAATATATATACACTCTCAAAAACTAAGGAGGTTCTAACACAACTTGGCAAAATTTAATTCAATGCAACTGTAATAATGAACTGTTCATTACATAGGGCAGGTATCAAACAACAGCAGAACGATGAGATGCAACATACGTTCTGAACTTGAGGTTAGGTCTACATACCTACAATTCCTGTAACTGCTCTTAGAAACCTTTCCCGCAGAAATGCTCGAGCTTCCTGATTTTCTGCCGAAGAGAAATCTGGCGGAAAACTGTTGATCTCATCCATGCTGTCACTTTCTTTCTCAGACATTTTATAACGGAATTGTAAACTTCGGTACTAAATTCTGAGTGTCGGAAAAGTAACACTTACAAACCGACTATACGAATATAATTTGGTTCATATCCATATTCATTCCTAAAACGCACGTGTGTGTAAACACTTTAATCAATTTAACAAAAGTCTTTATTTCAAGCGCAGATCACACAGTCACCATTTTTAGTCATAACGGAGAGACATTTCCCTGCAATTTCTCTTTGGTTCTATTAAAATGAAGACAAAGTCTATAAATTAGGAGCACATGATAAAAGTATGTCTAAATTTCTAAATAATTTGTGTATGTTTTATAGAGCATTGCAGGTATTACGACAAAAATAAAGTCAAGACGTATTATTCAGAGCAAATTCTTATAAATATCCCATACGTGATATAATAATAAAAACACATTTTAGTTTTAAAAAAATTGTAAACGATTATAGTTTTATAATTTATTAAGTTTGCGTAAATAATGTCAAACAAACTAAAATCAGGTCCAAATTGGGGTAAAAATATCCGTTGGTAACACTGCACTGTGACCACAGATTATACCTAATTCAAGTTTACTACCATCAGACATTCCACAAATGCTACCATTAGGGTGCCACGATACCGGCGTATTTCGTTGTAAAATAATCCAGTAGATGTCAGGAACGTTACGGATTATGTGTGTTAATTTTACGCGAGCGAATTTGGCCAAGGTTTTTTTTTGTCAGTGTCAGGTATAAGATTTGAGATAATCACGGCGGTGAATATGTCGATGTTGATCTCCTGGGTTTAAACACCAAGAGGTTTCACAGGTTGATTCCTTTTTCACAGAAGATATGAAGTAGCGTATTCTTCAGTACAGGTAAATAGGCCATGACCTAAGTTTACAGTTTAGAGTCTTTAGACTAACAAATCAACTAAACAGGAAGTCATTGAGTTGTTGAATATTTTTATGGTAACCGCGGATTCACAACAGCCTTCCACTGGACCTTGTCCTGAAGCCGGTCAATTCGGTCACACCCTCGCATCCTATTTCTTTAAGATCCATTTTCGTCCAAACTTCCCAAGCGGTTTTTCAGTGAATTTTTAATACAGCCAGTCTGAATGTTAATATATTTTCTGTCGGTCAAGTTCAGAATTTGCCACTTGTTGTTAACGTGTTATCAACATGTCCAGGTTTTCTATAAATTGAAATATTTTACACAAACTATATTTGAGTGAGAAACATAAAAAGAAAGCTTAAGATTACTGTGAACATAGAAAAGTGCATACATAATAAACACACATTAAACTTCACTTCATTTTTGTCATTTGGTGTGCCGTGAGATATTTATTTATATTTTAGATCGCCGTTTCAATGGACAACAGGAACTTACAAACAGACCAAGGCATTTTCACTTTCCGTTGGAGTAGAAAGCCAGTGACATGGAATGCATTCAATGCGACATTTTACGTATTAAGGAACGCAGACTGTGCGGGTCCCTCCCCTCCAAGGCGCTAAACGTTACATAACTCCCGCATCCAATAGGCCAAGCTGTTAGGTAAACTGATGCTGTTTTTATTATTAGTTCGCCGATAACTTCCCTACCCATCATAACAACTGGTAACTATCCAACGAAACCCCCGGTGCATATAGGTCTACTTACTTAATTACGCAGTGAATTTGTCAGTTGTTACCTAAATGGTTAGTCAATTCGTTATTCAACATGTTTATCAGTTGTTTATTTGTAAATTACTTACTAAGCTACTCAATAGCCAAAAAGTAAATTGTTCAGTCAGTCATATGGTTTAATAATTAGTTAAATAGTACGTCATCCAGTTTTAGTGTCTCACTAGTTTAGTAAGTTAAAACTTTGTGAGGCGGTTAACAGAATAGTTGAGTTGTTAATCGTTTAGTAAGCAAATTTGTTAATCTTGGTTAATTAATTATTTAGTTCATTAGACAGTTGTACTAAGAAATTCCATCGATAGTCATTCAGCAAAAAAGGTTATACAGGCATACCTCGTTTTATTGCGCTTCGCTTTATTGCTTTTCTTTTAATACAAATTCAAGGTTTGTGACAACCCTGCGTCGAGCAAGTCTATCGTCGCCATTTTTCCAACAGCATGTGCTGACTTCGTGTCTCTGTGTCACATTTTGGTAATTCTCGCATTGTTTTTTTAGACATAATGCTATTGCACACTAAACAGACTATAGTATAGTGTAAACATAACTTTTATATGCACTGGGAAACCAAAAAATTCGTGTGAGTCACTTTATTGCGGTGGTCTGGAACCGAACCCGCAATATATCCGAGGTATGCCTGTAGTAGAATATGAGGTTCTGCAGGCGGTAAGTACGAAGATATCTGTCTTCTGGGTTCTAGGCTGTCAAACTACACGTAGCTACAACGCAGTAAACAGTCATCCTATGTAATGATATAGTTCGTCTTCGCTTCATCACTATTCTAGGACGGCGTGCAAAAGCCTGAGAGTAAAACCATGCTACGTCACTAACTGCCCGCAAATAAAGTAACTCCGATTGGAGGAGTCAGCAGAAACTTCTGTGACGCTTTATAGCACTTCATCAAAATGAATTTCCTGTGAAAGACGCAGTTAATTATTACAGACACATATAAAGACATCCTTGACGTAACTAGGTATATACCATGCCTGTTTATGTAAATAGACTTCCTCATGTAAAAGTAAATTAAAGAGAAGTTGTGTGCTATTAGTCACGCTGAAAAAGAAACATCTGTGTTGTGGACCACATAACAGAACCGTATACAATTAGTTGCATGTTTTGAATTTGCCCAGTTGTAACCGTGACAACAGAAAGATGGGTTTACACCTGTAGATTTTGTTCAAACAAGAGTATACCTATTAATATGGTTCAGTAGGGTGGGTCCTGGAGTTCAAATGACAGTTGTTGCGAATAATACATGCAGCTTCTATTCAACAGACCGAATTACAATTCATATTGACTTCTTTCATGACAACTTTCAACTAGGCTGTTGGAAACGTCTTGTAACTGGAATTTTCTAACAAACAAACGTAATTAATTACGTGAGATTTAAGGTTCTTACGGCATCGAGTATAAATATGGTATTTTCTGGGCGATGACTCATCGCCCTGAAGATGAAGACAGCAAGCACCTATAAAACGTGGATAAACTTCTCCCAGACTACATGGTACAAAACCTCAGAGGACAGTGATCTCCTCAGTTAATCATATAAATAAATAAATTAAAAGATGTCGACACTGTATGAACCAAATAAGTCAGCAAAGATCGATGAATGAATACTGTCTTGACAGATTTTCGATTTCCAATTCCATGTCCAAGTCACGTTATGTCAGTCCGTCTTTGTGTCAGCTCCCTTCTTGGGGCTCGCGACACCATTTTAAAGTCAAAAGGTGTTTGGCCGGAAACCAAGCCTCCAATAAATCTGCAGTCGCTTGATTTCTTGCCTCGAGGTTTGCTGAATGTTTACAAGTTGTAACGTGCATGGGCAGAGACGAGGGTAAAGGCAAGGCTTGTAGCATTTAGTCATCTCAACCAACCACCAAGAACTTAACTAAGTTAAACTAAGTTTAACAGTTCCATATGTGTCCTCACCCATTCGCAGGTAGTTATGCCAATCTGTCGGCTCTAATTGAATTTCATTCAACAAATTTATATGAGAATGTTTTGATCCATCTAACCAACTTCTGACCCACTTAGAAAGATTTACCTTTTTTTTCTTTTTCAACATTAAAGTAACAGCAAGACCGATTACAATCGCATCGTCTTCACTGAACATGTTGTAGCATCGACTGAAGACCGAGTACAAACCTGCCACAAAGTCTGTACGTGTGTAGACTCTCAGAGGTTAGAGGCTTACCTTCCGGCTTTAACTTGGAAGGCAGGCCTTCCGCGTAAGCCGGAGCGTGTGTGGCCACTATACAATCATGTCTCACAAATATTAGTCTTTGTTGCTTTTTCGTAGTATTTGCAAATTTGTACACAACTGTACACAGAAAAGTATTTACTTTACATATCTACATTACATACAAGGCCTTTGTCCGTCCAGCAGATTATATCATATGTTACTTCGCTTATGCTAAAATGCCACCTTAGTCACTTGAAGGGTCGAAAACTTGATTGTCGCCAACTTCAACTCTTTGAAGCCGAATCCAGTCCACGCCCTGCCATCCTATTTCCATAATATCCCAATACCTTGGTTCCCTCAGACATAAGGTTGGCGATCCTTAACCTAAACCCTACATAGGTTATAGAGCGTTATTTTCAGGTTTGTTTCAATTACAGGGATGCTTAAATGCCATTATTTCATCCATTTGAACATATATCCTTCGGAACCATAATATTTTCACCGTGTCAACAGAGAGATATTACTGAAACGCAGGTGTAGCTTTCATAATTAAGTGCGAAGTTCTTGTCTAAACCATCTGATACAGTAAAACCTCTCTAAGTTGGACACTTGGGGTTCCACGAAAATGTGTCCAACTTACAGAGGTGTCCAAGATAGAGGGAAAG